GACCCCGTCCACTTCCTTTAAGTCACTATACATACATCACACACACATAGGTCGGTTGGTGAGCACTGAGCAGCGGTGTATCGTGTACCTGTAACGCGCGAAGCATTTCGGTGACCGGGCGTTGCGTGCTATTATTGTTCGTACCCAGCCCGTACAGTTATTGATAAAATATTATTAGAACTCCATAAAAGATTTAATAACCATACTTTAATGATAGCAAAGGATCTATCTTTATTGACAATTAAAGTAATTTATAGTACCACGAAAAATAAAAATTTACCTGTTGATACATTTTCTTCTATCTATAATAATTATGAAAAAAGCTTTAACAAAAAAGATATTGTAAGACAATATGAACAACTTTTTAAATCGAATATTAGTATATATTACTAAAAATTCCCCCGCCCATAGGAAAAATCTGAGCACATCCCTGGGTCAGATATAATGTTATGGCATAAAATATAGTGCGATTGATAATTAAAATCTTAATAATAACAAATTTCCCTATAATATAACTAAATATAATTTATTTGTGATATTTTAGTTATTAGTACTACCACATCTTCCATAAAATATATACTATTTATACTTCCAAATACTATAATTTATTATTTTATCCTTTAAATTTATCCATATTAATAATTATTATAGTTATTAATTAATTTATAATTAATTATCCTTCTTGTCTCATAAGAATTCATCGTAATTTATGTATAATTTATGTCATAAAAGCMTCTTTCATGTCTGATAAAAATTCGTCAAATATAGTTTGCTTGTTTGGATGAAGGGATCTCCACCAATCCTCTTTAAGTTGTCTAGGTAATAATTGAGATGCGCCGTTTACTCTTATTTCATATCGCTTTTTCACTATTTTTCACAAACATTCTATGGTTTGAGTATTGGCATTTGTATTGGGATCAATAAACCATTTTTGATGATTCATAGTACTGTGTATTAATATACCATACATGTGTATTATATTAATACTGTGTACGACGTACGTCCATTGTTTAATGACGAATAAGCTCTCCATTCATCACTATAAATAAATATATTTACCCATGTCATATAGAAAAATACACACATTGGCCGTAGGTGGCACATTAGCCCGGCAAAGATAAGGGAAGGTCAATTATAAGTTGTAGGTCGCACATTGGAMAAGTACCGTTATAAGCATTTTGAATTTTTTTGAGAAGTATTAACATTGCAAAAAMTAATTTAAAAAGTCAACACATTTTACAGGTATATTTGCAGATTTTCTTTACATTGTTTTTAATGTTCTTAGTACCTTTAGAATACCTACTTACGGAATAATTATTCAAACCAGAATTCCAACAGCTTATTAATTCGCATTCAAAAATAAGAAGCACATATTATGCGAAGGCTTTTTTTTTAATTTCATGCCTAAAGCCTCCTCCCATTTATTTTTTTCTAACATTCTTCTGTACTCCAAAAGTGGTGTTTGCCACAGAATGCGGTGAGCGAATGCAACGATGAGACATTTTTTGTGGTAGTAGTAATTAATATAAATAATAAATCACAATTTTGTATATATTATATTAAAACGAGATGTTATGTCAATAACGTGTAAAATGCTGTATGAATGTATAAATGATAATAATAATAATAATAATAATAATAATAATAATCACAGATGGTATAAAAAACAAATTCCCGAATCCCGATCCTTATTATTATAGCTAAATAAATAAATATAATATAATAATATATTTTTACACAATTACATTGTGGTCTACCGCCATGCTATCTATGAATCGCTATCAAAAACATATAAATTAATTCTTGGAATTTATTGAGCAATAGAGAGCGCCACCGTGTAGTCAGATTGACTGTAAGCATTTTGATGGCTGCTTCTTGCTTATACATTATCATACGTCGTCACGCAACCATACATTTATATCTTAGTACCACGGCTTTTGATAGAAAATCTTCTATCTTTCTAATTGTTCTGTGGTACTAATTAGTCTGTGGATCGAGTATGGTATAGGCAAGGTGGATTTATATATATATATAAATCCACCTTGGGTGTGGGTGATAAGAGAAAATGATAAAAGTGGTTAAGGTGAGTTTTCCACTACAAACGTTCGGGMAAATCTTTTGCTGTGATTGGTTTATTGGGTAAGGTTACCATAAGAATATAAGATTAACCACTTTACTGCGTTGTTGGACATTTTATGTGTACACAACACACGTGTATAATGAAAATCTGCCTTTACCTTCGAAAATATACACGGAAGAGTCATAGACAGCTGGTATAAAAGAATGAATAGTCCATTATTTTTTATGCTTATCATACGGGAACGGACATGAAAATATTTTGAGGTTATAGAGGTCTCAACACAGATATAATTTATAAWAATAATTATTGTACATAATTTATGATAAGACCTGTGCCAGAATGAAAGACAATGATAAAAACAATCTTTCTCTCTTCCCCATTTCGACACACGTCCTTCTATTTTATTAATATAGTCATGGCCCATTGGCCCATCTATTCCTTAACATCTATGAGAAGAGTCCGTGTATGCTTTTTCTATACGGATACGGAGTACACCCGGACACCCGGATACCTAGGCATGGCGTATAATTATTCAACATTTCAACAGACAACAGATGTTAATTGTATTTTTTTCTTTTTAAATTTTTATTAATATTATTAAAATTATTTTTTCCTACAATACTCCAACTTTAATTTATTTAGTGGAATCTAGGCCAATCCTTTGGAACAACACATCCAACGAGAACAAARACAAAAAAAATAGRAACTACAAACAGGTCAAACAGTGCAAACTAGTATTTTACGAAACGGTGCTCAARTATGAACCGAGTACGAAAGTCAGTAATCAGATGATATCGTTCCCCACCACCGACTACAATATCGTTGAGTGAGAAAGCTATAATCTATATTATTTACACATTGGACATTGGACATTTGGACTATAAAGTTTACTTTGTAATTACTGACTGTGCTATGTGAAGATATTATTACTTATGAGGTATGACTAATTACTTATTAATTATTACCTATTAGTACTATGTATTAAAATAGTAAAATGGTTATCAATTAAATTTATCGTTGATCGTTGACGGTACGAACTACGGAATATCCAAATATGATTTTTAATATGGTACCATAATAAAATCTGGAACATGGTATTATCTTATTTCCATAGTTTTATTAGAAAATAATATTACTTTTCTTGTGTTTAAACAATGTACAGAAAATTTTCAATTGGCCATTAACGCAAAATCAGTAATACACTTTTACTATATGTAGAGCCTGACACCGTTTTACACTATTGCAATATTTATTACCAGCTTCATTAAGAACTTCCAATCATATTATTCATATCGTGTTCACTGTGTTTAACATTCCTATAGATTGTTTATTATATTGCAACAACAATAAACTTTTAATATCTTGTTTTCATTATTTAAATTTGTTTTTAATTTTGATATAATGTGATTCTTCTACTGAATTAATTAATTTGATCATATTGCAGATTTAGAAGAACAAATTTTACCTGAGCCAAATTATCAAAAATATTTTGAAGTATAAAGAGTCRTTGAGGATATTTTTTTTATTCAGAAGCTGGAAGTGAAGTGCTTAAGTTGTGTCGATATAAAGTGTTACATGGTGTATTCACTTTCCAACTCTAATATAAAAAAAAACATTTCAGCGTAAGTACAATTCCCATGGCATTTAACCCATCCAATGACTCGTGTGTGTTAAATTAATTTTAAATACACATAATTTAGTGCACTAATGCATAAGATATAAAGATTGTTTATTCAAACTTTAAAGTTATATTATTTCATTTTATTCAGAAGCAACGTCCAAATCTATTAAAAACAATTGATCACAATAATTATTCAGCAAACAAAGACATGTAATGATGGATCACTATAGAATAATACTGGTAGTTCTTAAAAACAATCAGATACTTAACAATAACCAATTTCAGAAGTTTTTTTAAACAACATAAAGTTTACTTGTCAAAGTAAGAATATGTAATGTCTATTTTTGTTTGTTTTATTTTTTGTCTTATTAATTAATTATTAGTTAGAACAGTTAGGTTATTAATCAAATTTTAGATGTCCATATATGGCTACAAGCCTACAACTATGGATGATTGATCGATTTCAACAAAATTTTAATTTTTAGTATAATAACTATAAAATGTACATTGTTCATTGTTTACATTGCCCATTGTACATACCTAGATACCAATTAGTTTAATATAATATTTTCTCAGGTCATGCCATTGAATAATGGTCACGAGGATTCATCGAGAAGTATTCATCTTTCAGCATTGAGACAACTAAAAAGTTCACATATGTTTGATGTTTTTTGTCAAAGCTATGGATGCAGTATACACTCAATTAGAGATTTTGGCTAAATTATTTTATTGTACTACAGACGATAGTTCTCATTTTAGTAAAATGTTCCCAGTAAGTTATTTATTATGAATTTGTATTGATTGCTCATTAAAATGTTTATGACTATCATATAATTAACCTCATGTTAACCCCTATAGATTCTTTGTTATTGTTTAGAACATTTGGTCATAAATTTGACGATGGAAAAACTGAAAGATTACTAGTAACTTGTCAGTAGATGATGATTTAGAACAAATCAATGAAATCAACTTCACCATTCTAAATTATGAAGACCAAGATTTTCAGTATACATAACCAAAATACCATTGATGTTGTGCACTCATAATTAACTTTATAGTAACAGTGGTAATTAAAAATTTATTTAAATAGCCGAGTTATGCAAAATTGGATCTRGATAATTATTTGAATGATTTCTTTACAATTACTTGAATAAAAATGTATTCGAATAATTTTCAACCACAATTATTCAAATAAAATATTATTAAACTAAATTTCAAAGATAGTTATTCGAATAATTTTAAGTTATTTTATTTGAGTAAATAAATTGATATTTGTATCATTTTTTTTTTCATAATTATCTGAATAAAAATGTGTTAGAATAATT